GAGAGAGAGAGAGAGAGAGAGAGAGAGAGAGAGAGAGAGAGAGAGAGAGAGAGAGAGTTTGATTGATAGGTCGTACTGCATTCTAGGCTTGGGCAAATCGCCTTGTAATAGTCTACAACTGTTTCTTTCTTCCTTTTGTCGAGCTCAACGATTTCATCCCATCATGAAATTTGTTTGTTTGCTTGTTTGTTTGCGTTGAACTTCCATTTATTTCATCATTCAATTTGAATTGAAGCCGTTTTGTGTTGAATCAATTAAAATTAAAAAACAACAATGTCAACAATTGAAAACAAGTTGCAACATAAGTTTTTCTCATCGGCTGCCACTCTCCGTTCCGTCGAAGGATGAATAGGATTTTTTTTATTATTATTATTTTTTTGATAAATCAAGGCTGCATTCTATTTGTGGGGAGCATCACATGCTGGGAACCGGCCCCAGCATCCCTTATTAAATTTGGAAGTTGCATGTCGCGGCCGGGTCCCCACAGTCTACCCGGAAAAAAAACACATATTGAAAGCATTCCCGGACATCCTAGTCATTACCCGATCTTACTTTGGACAAAAGGTACTCTCTCTCCGCTGGAAACCTCTAGTCCAGCGTCCCCTGATTACTATGTATTCTCTAGAGACTGTATCTGAGTCCTAGTACCATTTTCCTCTGCAAAACTGTATCTGAGTCCTGCCTGTAAGACCCCTCAGCCAAGAGGATGTCCGAACCGCGTGGTCTCAGGTCTGCTAGCCTCACAAGTGTGACTCGAAAATTCTAAGAACAAATAACTTTTTGACGGAGGATAGTGTTTAAGTTTTTGTAGCTCAGAGATTGCCAAGGCTCTATCTACTGTACTTCACCTTTCCAGAGTAGAGATTGGAGCAAGGAGGGAATTACTGAGCAAGGAATGAATTACTGAGCAAGGAGGGCATTACGGTTGAGGTAGGTGAGTCTCAGACAGGTTATAGGGAGAGAGAGGGGTCTGGGAGGAGCAACGATAGATACTTCCCTCTGTAGAGGTACTAATGAATACGAACTAGTAGATCCTCTCAGTAACTCTTGGGGCCTCGCCGGATGGTGCAAAAAACGAAACGAAACGACCTTGAAACTCGCGAGGCCTCGCGAGGCCTCGCGAGGCTGAAAATCACCGTTTCGTTTCGTTGTTGCACCACTGCCGCATGGCACACGCGAAATCACTCGCGGATACGCCCTGACGAGTGTTGAGGTGCCTGACTTTCGCAAATGCTACTTTTTTTTTGGACCGACATCCCTTGGACGTACGTGCTGCAGCCCTTGGACCGACTTGCTGCACTCGCGCAGCTCCTCGACCGGCCTCGGGAGGACCTTTGACTTTTCGCGCGTTGCAGGCGGGCACGGAAGGGGGCAGGTGCGGAGCCTCGCGAATTGCAAATCTGACACAATTCGCCACTTCCTTCTGACGGTTTTCGTTTCTTCACTGTGCGGCGAAGAGTTCACGAAACGAGTTGTACCGTCCGGCGAGGCCCTTGGTCTAGTAGATCCTCTCAGTAACTCTTGGCCGCGGACTTGTCCTTGTCCGCAGATGGACGCCGCGCCGCCGAGGGGGACTCGCCCAGGGGGATTCGTAGGGTAGAGTTAATTGTTCTGTTTTCCCATTTTTCAGGGATAGCAAGATTGCTGAGAAGAGTATGGGATGCTGGACCTGGTTTCCAGTTAAGCCTCTCAGAGGCTGGGTCTCTCTCTCCGGGTTGAGATGTGGAGGGTTTCCGGGACTCCTGTATCATTGCAATTGCAATGAAAGCCATGCTGTTCCAAAAAAAAAAAAAA